AAATTAAGTGAAATCAACTATTTTGTAAAGCAGAATATTCTTGTGTGCATCTACACTGAATTGTGCGTAAGTGAAATGTGCGAAACTGAACTGTGCGACACTGAACTGTGCGACACTGAACTGTGCGACACTGAAGTGTGCGACACTGAACTGTGCGACACTGAAGTGTGCGACACTGAACTGTGCGACACTGAACTGTGCGACACTGAACTGTGCGACACTGAACTGTGCGACACTGAACTGTGCGACACTGAACTGTGCGTAAAAGAACTGTCCAATTGAACAAACGCTGATTTAGAAAGATTTATTATTTATAAATTAGTAAAATCTCCAAACAGGGCTCTACATGCATACGTGTGTGTCTGTGTGTTTTAAATTATATTTCGATAACCTGTGTCCAAAAGCAACGGTGTCCAATTGTACGATGCGCAAAAGAACGTGCAATTGCATCGTGTCCAATTGTACTGTGCGCAATTGAGCCTCTCCCGAACGGACATTGTTTGAGATTCCTCCAGGTATCTCATTTGGTACTACCCTCGCCATCTCACGGTGATTCGTGAGGCCCGGTGGGACCGCGTGCGCGACCGCGCGACCGTGTAACAAGCGCGTGACGGGCACGTGGAATCGGCTCCCGGGCTTGCGCGCAAGCTCAGAGAGCACCAGTCGTCGTGAGAAAGTCGTCGTTGTAAGCTGTGGTAAAGTTCGCATCGGCTGACGAAAAGTATCGCGCTCGCGCTCACGGGTTAGCTCACATTGAGTGCACACAATTAGTGCTCACTCAGGGACAGACTCATTAGTCAAGTGCTCAAATCGAGTGCATCGGTGTTCTGCGCAAAGGCCCCTCACATTGTAAGTGCACGCTTGCTTGTAGCCGGCATCCGGCTCAACTGGCGGCACACCCCCGACGGTCTTGTGCGAACAAGAGAGCTCGACGGACTCGCTCACCCAAATTCTACACCAAGTAATTGTAAATAGTGTACATACAATTAAACAGTCATCTCATTTTAAGAAACGGTATTGGAATCATTCTCGCCACGTTGCACGTCCTTTTTCACCCCCCGATCTACTCGTAGCGCTCACGGAGATTTCGCGATCATTCGATCTCATGACGAGATTCGAATGAGAGGAAATTTCCCAAACATTTGGTCCTTCGAGCCGGATGCATCGTGGTGACGTGACACTCAATATTCGTTTGCGAGCACTTGCTCTTTTCTCATTTCGCGTACGGCATAAATTCATAAATTCAGTGCGTCTCCTTGTGATCACGTGCGCCATTCGTGACAAGGACTCGCTGCCATCTCAGTGTTGTCACGACGTGATCACGCAGTAACGAAGTGACATTCTCGAGGGCAAATCGAGCAGCTGTGACTGTGAATTGAACTTCGCTGTTTTCGTGGCGAACCAACGTTATCAGCTCTCAGTCTGTTCGGTGGCTCGTGCTGCTCAGTGGTGCTCATCGTGTGGTGTAGTGTTATCACCGTGTTCCGCTCATCATGCCTGAAACAGAGAAGGCCGCCAAAGCAGATGCTGAGGAAAAGACGACCTCGGGTCGGCAATCTCCCCTCACTCTCAATGTGCCTGGTCAACAGACCGCCCCCAAGGGGACACCTTCTGGCAACACTCAAGGACGCAGCTCACGTCAGACTTCTCCAACTCGTCTCTCCACCGAGCTCACACTCAAGGTGAGATCACAAATGAGTCGTGTTAATACTATAAAACTCATTGCAGACGCGAAGGTTGTTGACCCCGAGAGCACATCACTAGGGGAGGTCAAAGCAGCGCTGTCTCAATTGGAGGAGCTACACAAGGCGTTCTTGAAGGAGCACGCTTATTTTGAGATAACATGGCCTGAGGCATATTTGGATCACGAGTATTTTGCGGACAACATCCATGAAAAGGAAGCTCATCTCGTGATCTCAGCTAAGCTACTGCTCAACAAGCACTCAAAGCTCAATGACGTGGAAAAACTTCATTATCTCAGAGGCTGTGTGCAGGGCATTGCGGAGCAGCTCATTCGAGGTTTGCCTCTCACCGGAGATTCTCTTCAACCATCCTGGGATCTGCTCACCTCAAGGTTTGAGAACAAGAGACTCATCATCCAAGCTCACTTTGACAGTCTCTTCAACCTTACGCCTGCCTCACCCAAGAATGCCGCATCGCTCATCCAGCTGGTCACAACAGTGTCCGAGGTGGACAGAGCTCTAAAATCACTCGGTATAGCGAAGCACATGTGGGATTGCCTTTTAGTCCATCACGTGTCACGCTTCCTGGACAGAAACACCAGAGTGGCTTGGGAAACCTCGCTTGGATCATCTCACGAGTATCCGCGCTTCACGCAACTTGAGGCCTTCCTCAATGCCAGGGCGCGAGCATTGGAGAAGGTGGAGGCCACGCCTTCTCCCTCGGGCCACTCATTGGAAGTCACACCCAGCTCATCCAAATCTGCGATCAAAAGGGTGACTGCTCACAAAGTATCCGCTCCCGCGACTTCTCAGACGACTCCACAAGGATAAGGAATATCTCACCAAGAACATCTCACTAAGCGACGTGTACTATCTGAAGTGGCACAGATATCGGATTCACCTGGGTTATCTCACCATTCGTGATAAGAGCCAAGCTGCTTCTTCAAGAGCTCTGGCTCCACACGATCACCTGGGATGAACCGTCACCATCTCAAGTTGGCTCACGGTGGCTCAACATCAGAAAGGATCTCACAGGCCTGGCCAGGCCTTCAATTTCACACTGGTCTAACACCAGCAGTGATTCAAAGGCGCCAAAACTCTCTCAAAATTGGTCAAATGTCCATGCCACACTCAAGATGGACATTAACGCAACATATTCATGGACGGACTCTCAAGTGACTCTCATGTGGATCAAAACACACTCACCTTGGCGCACATCAGGCAATCATGTTGGAAATTGCGGTGTGAGGTGTGTGCTCGACAAAGGGGGATTCGTGCACATCAACTTATGGGCCAACTACCTCTGCCTCGGGCCACACCCTCACGTGCATTTCCACACTGGCATTGATTATGCTGGTACCATTGCCCATTGCTCACCAAGACCAAGCTCAACAAGACCAAGCTCAACAAGACCAAGCTCAACAAGACCAAGCTCAACAAGACCAAGCTCAACAACCATAGGAGTGGACTCATCATCAACCTCATTGCTGATGGCGGGCGGAAATGTTTGAGATTCCTCCAGGTATCTCATTTGGTACTACCCTCGACATCTCACGGTGATTCATGAGGCCCGGTGGGACCGCGTGCGCGACCGCGCGACCGTGTAACAAGCGCGTGACGGGCACGTGGAATCGGCTCCCGGGCTTGCGCGCAAGCTCAGAGAGCACCAGTCGTCGTGAGAAAGTCGTCGTTGTAAGCTGTGGTAAAGTTCGCATCGGCTGACGAAAAGTATCGCGCTCGCGCTCACGGGTTAGCTCACCTTGACAATTAGTGCTCACTCAGGGACAGACTCATTAGTTAAGTGCTCAAATAGAGTGCATCGGTGTTCTGCGCAAAGGCCTCTCACTTTGTACGTGCACGCTCGCTTGTAGCCGGCCACCGGCTCAACGGGCGGCACACCCCCGACGGTCTTGTGCGAACAAGAGAGCTCGACGGACTCGCTCACCCACATTCTACACCAAGTAACTCACAATTGTATATAGTGTACATAAGGTTAAACAGTCGACTCATTTTTAAGAAACGGAATAGTAGTCATTCTCGCCACGTTGCACGTCCTTTCTCACCCCCCGATCCACTCGCAGCGCTCACGGAGATTTCGCGATCTCTCGATCTCATGACGAGATTCGAAAGTGAAGAAATTTCCCAAACAGACATACTGTTAATAAAGAGTTAGCATACATTGTTTTAAATTTTTTAACAGATGTAAATATGCTATATCGTTTGGATCATGCAAATGTTTCATTTCCGACATCAAAGCTTTGCTAGCAAACAACAGTACAATAGACGACATAGAAGATAGGAAGATGCTAATATTTTTGTTAGTAAAATATCACGAGACATGATAGTTATAATTACCTATTAAAATTCGGTTGAGCAGCGCCAAGTTTTTGTAATTTAAAATAAAATATTTATTTGTATTAAATTGTCTAAACCGCGGGCAACGGGCGTCCGCGGGCGCCCAGCCGGCGCCCAGCCGGCGGGCATGCCCCCACTCCAATCATCGCCCCACCACGTTTAAAATTATTTAGTTTAGTTGGTGCCATTTGATGATATTACTTTTGTAGAGAAGATAGTTTTGTAGTGAAGATATTTTTGTAGAGATGCAAAAAAGATACAGTAACAAAATATATTCGGTCGTTGGAGCTTATACTTGGTGCTTTTTTTACCTTTTTTAAAAAGGTAAGTTTTTTAGGTGATATCACCCCTTTTGTAGTGTTAAATATCTCGTACTATTTATTTATCAGAATATAATTATCTTATTACGAGAGAGAACCTCGAAATGACCGATTGTGTGATATTAAACGCCAGGGAATAATCGACGATTTTGTACGGAGCCTTCTTGCGTTCCATGATGCGCGGTCGCGTGGTGCACGAGACGTAAAGGCTTTTTTTAATTTATACCTCGTTACTCGTTACTGTCTCACTAGGTCCCTGTGTTATAGGTTACGTAACCTATAACTTATTCAAGCAAATAGATTTTTTGTTAAATTACTAACTTTATTTCAATGATACCATACTGTTCTCTGATTTAGTCCGATTAGTGAAACATTGTCGGTTCGTACACAAAACCCATATAATTTGTATATTATACAAATGTGTTCACGAAGTGACAGTTCTAGGAGGAAATTCCAAAAGTGCAGAATCACTCCAGCATCCCCTCACTGACTCGGATCTCAACAACGGCTGATCCGACGAAGTTGAGACTACGCTTAATCAATAGATTGGGTACGATATGCATAATAAAAGTGTTTTTACTTTTCTCCTACGTGCCCCATGAGTAGAGATATTGCAATGCAAAGTCCACGGGTCTGAATTTTCGCGTAATTTTTAAAACGTCGTCGTCGTTGTGGTCGACCAGGCCAGTGGAGGAGGAAAAATCCTTTTTACTTTTCTGTCGCAACGTGGCATTGGCGCTGCTGACGTGACTGATTACCGATATTACCGAGGTTACCTACGATGGCATTATATACTTTGAATTCGATGTCCACAAATCGAGTTTAAGGTATTGATACACCTAGACACCGAAAACTACGGAGCGCACTATGTGGACGTCGTCATCGGCGACCTGGGACACGTGGACATCGAGTTCAAGGTATTGATACACCTACACACCGAAAACTACGGAGCGCACAATGTGGACGTCGTCATCGGCGACCTGGG